AACAATAATAATAATAATAATAATAATAATAATAATAATAATAATAATAATAATAATAATAATAATAATAATAATAATAATAATAATAATAAAATAAAATAAAACCTGTAAAAGTTGAGAATAAATTGCGAGACTTGAAATAAAGATGAAACTGAAATAACTTCAATAATAACGGCAAGATTGTTGATCCAAGCAAGTTACACAAAAGTTACATAAATTGTAGGCCTAATACTAATGGTGTGGTAGTTTCTCAATATGAGAAACTACCACTTTTACATACTGAGTTTTTTGCCTAGAAATCTAACAATAATACTTTGTTCACAAAATTTTAATGTACAAAAAGGAATGCTCGACCCTTTTTATAGTCAGAACTCATGGTAGTTACTTTGTGATTCATGTAGCAAGTAGTGGAGATCATGGAGAAAGTGAAGAAAGTCATGGGATGAGTGGGTGAAGTGGAGAAAACGGAGCTTTGTTGCAGACGTGGAGAGAACGTTGAGATCATGGCAGAAATTATGTGTCGTAGGGCACACATCTTTTAAACATGTGCCGACCGTAACATCATGTGTACCGAGGGGCAAACATATTCTAATATGTATCGACCGTAACATCATGTGTGCCGAGGAACACACATATTCTTAAGGCGTGGCGACCAGCATGAAGGCTGTGACGACTGTCACAGTCTTCTGTCATGCATTTTCCTGCTATTTTTCTGCTACAATGTGATTTTCATCTCATTTCTTTGCCATTTCTTCCTCTTTTCTCATGCAAGCCTTGTGAAATATAAATATCTGAAATGAAATAGAAATACCGGCATAACAAGATAAAATGAATGAAAAATAATATAAAAATGCATGTGAATCAAGTCGAAAATATGATATAATTTCGTGTTATCAAAACTCTACCTAACCTCTTGAGAGTGTTAGAGCTACCCACTCTACCATTATACCAAGTGTAGAAAGCACCAATTATAGACAAATACAAAAGATCATTCATACTGGACCAATCTTAAAATTCTTGAATAGGAAGTCTAACAGACAAGAAAGAACCAAGGTGTTCAGGAGCTCCAATTCCCACATTAAAATCACAATTGTTGCTTCAAGGGATTTTATGGTTAGATATAATAGATGTTAAGTCATGCCAAAGTAATCTTCTTCTAATATAGCTTATGGAGACATAGATGACTATGAATCCAAAGACTTTATTATCAATAGTAGAAGTGAAGATTATGTGTTGGTCACCAACATATATGATGACATGATCAAAAGAGCACTTGCAAAAACATCAAAGATTGAAGTGATTGTTGGGTATGCAGTTGATAGAAACAAGTTTCATGCCAAGTTTGAAAAACCAGTTATGGGGGAAATAAGCATATCTCATCCAAGGCTCTGAGACAAAAAGAAAACCAGACTTAATTTTTACCATCATTCTTCTAAGCGCTAATTTAGTAGGGTTATTGTCCAAACCCCTTGAATTCTAATAAATACAAATCATCTCAAAGGTGTTGACTGATCAACCTTTGATTTGATAATATATGCACTTGTAAATTTCAATTTTAGTTCAGTTTTCAATAATCACGTCAACAAAAAGATAGTTATCTGTTAAAATTATTTCAGTTCATTTAAAAAAAAATTTATAATTAGTTTGTATTTATTAACTACTCTCCCTGTACTAAATTATAATACACTTTGCAAAAAAAAAAAAATCCTAAATTACAAGTCACTTTAAAATTCCAATACAACACTTACAATTTTTTCTTAATATACCTTCAAGTATTTGTCATTGTTCCTTCATTCAACTCTTTTAATTTTTCTTTCCTATGTAATAATAAGAGACATTATTGTAAAGTCATACATAATTTGTCAAAAATAGTTAAATTTATTAATTCCCATGAAATATAAAAAATATCTTATAATTTAAAATGGATGGAGTAATTTATAATCTGTTTGCACTTATAAATTGGTTTTATATTTCGAACTCTTTTAAAATATATATATATTTTTAAATAAAAAATGTTTTCTTATTTTCAAAAAAATTAAAAAAACAAATTAAAATTATTTATTTTTCCAAAATAATATTTTTTTTATAAAAAAAATACAAAAACAAATTCCCAAAAAACAATATTATTATTTATTTGATTTTTTTATTTTCCAAATAAATTTTTTTCTTTAAATGATGTTTATTTTACAAAATTTGTTTATTAATATTTTAATTGATTTTCTTAAAATTGTATTTTTTTTCTTTTTTTTCTTTTTTTTTCAAATAATATTTTTTTAATAGCTAATCCAACAACTTAAACTAATTTCTAATTTAAATTTAATTAACTAAATTATATAATTCAATTTTTTTAATTCTGCACAATTTAATTTAAATATATATAGTTTAAATGTTTAATTACTATATTTTTACACACATAACTTCAATCGCGAGGTTACAATTAGAGGTAGAAATAGGTTAGGCCGTATAGATAGATTCAAGATAGGTTAAACTTTTTTTTTAATAGAAAATGTTTAAGTTTTTGTATAAGTCTATTTAGTTAAAAAGACTAGACTTCAGACTATGACAAAAAGTCTTTTAAACCTAACAGATCGGCCTATACAAATAAATATGAATACTTTTTTTATTATCATTATATTATATTTTGTACTTTGAATCAAAATACATAAATAAAACTTGATTATCTTAGAGAACTTATGAAAATAAGGTGAAAAAATCTTATAAACAATATTATAAATTGTTTTTATAAATTCTCTTAAATAAATAATATCACAAAACTAATGTTAATAAGTAAGTTAAAATAAATCAACATAAACAAATTTTTATTCTCATTAATTTTTTAATTTGTTAATCTATTTAAACATTATTTGAATTGTTTATTTATATATCTAAAATAATAGGGCTTTTATATAAGGTAATAGACTAACCAGAACTTAAAAAATGACAAAGTCAAACTTAAAAATAAACTTGTGACAGACTATTGATCAAACTTAGACTTTTATTTTTTTTTACAGATCAAACTTAAATTTGACAAAATCTAACTCAATCCTATTTATTTCCACCTCGAGTTGCAATATAACTTTTTTTTTTTTTAATATCACTTTTAACTTATTTATCTTTATTTATTGTCAGATTTGATAGATTCTGTACTTATCCAAAAATCACCATCAACGTTGTAACCAAAATAAATAAATATAATCATCATCAACGTTAACTAGGGGTGGACACGCGGTCGGTTTGGGTTGGATTCGGGCTCAATTTATAAAACCGACATAAACCATGGATGCAATTGTTAAATCCAATTTCGACTTATTTGTACTTCGGTTTAGTCGGTTTCGGTTTGAACGGTTTATCGGTTTAAATAGATCGGTTTATTCGGTTAATTGATCATAAATTTTATTTTAAAAACTTGACAGTATATAAAGGAAGAACTGCAATAATTGGCCTTCAATAATGTTCAACACCAGTTATAAACAGTTTGCAATTCATCTATATATAAACAGATTACTACACAAACTTAAATATTATAGACATCCAATATTTTACAAATAAATTCATGAAAATATCATGAATCATAATATCTTGAATCATGAAGAATGTTATGTTGTTGCTGGGGCTGATCAAGTCCACTCCTGCAACATTGATGTTCAAAATCAAAAAGTAATATTTCCATGAATGTCCATCTTCCATGGCAATAATGCCCATCTTCTATAACCAAACACTCCTATAACATTTACATCATTTATTAACACATTTAAATTTCAAACATAAAATGGATCTAAGATTAAGTTTAACTTGCCATTCATCCTCCACACATAGTGTGACTTACATTCAACTATGAAACTTTGGTTATTCAACTATGACAATTTGGTTATTTGACTATGACAGTTTGGTTATTTGATGGGTTCAACTGTAGTTTCTAATAGTTTGAATAGTTTAAAGAAACACAACTATGATTTAAAAGTCTCTTAGATTTATTGTGTGATTCTTCTTTTAAAATATTTCTTGAAACATCAAACCTTAGTTTGAAAATAGATTTTGAATGTAAAACACAGGTAAAAAATGTCAAAATCTTCCAGCTCTATATTCTCAGAATAAGCAATAATTAACTCTTCTATAAGCACCATGGCACCACAATTGCTAGAGGATAAACTAAGTTCTTAACATACAACAAGAGCTAATTTATTTGTTGCTATTACCACCTGTCCATTCATTCCTCCAGTCTTTGTCGACATTTACATAGGATTTGATACAAATGAAGGGCATAAGACTTCATATATTTTGCTATCATAGATCATTTACATATCTCAATGTCAAATGATCTACTAATTTAAACAGAATTTTAAATAGAATTTTCAAACAGAATTCATCTACACAGAATGTATCTACACAGAATTTATATACACAGAATTTTCAACATGTACAATGAGTATAAAATACAGAAGACTCGTACAATAAAAACTCAACACAACTCATTTTACCGACATAACAGACATAACAGAACAGTCAACCAATAAAAACCTACCCAAAATCCACCAGCAATTGCTTCTCCTCCTTCTTGCTTGCTGCTGGCTGACTTTACCATCATGTAACATGCCATATATCAGATGAAGATATAAAATCTTATGTTCAGCTGTATCAGCAGTCAATGAACGAAATTCAAAATACATTGAATATTATGAATGTAAATTGCATCCAACATCAAGTACATTGAATATAAGTGACATTAAATTGCCACCAAAAAGATTCCATAGTTGATGTCACAAAATTAATTTAATACCAACAATGTCTCATCTCTTTTTGTTACTAATACTACTTTGTAAAAGTGGTGGACATAATGTAACTACTAACTATTGCCTCAACCTCTACAGAATAATAGAACCAACTAAGATTGGTGAAATAGTTGTTTAAAATCTGGTGAAGACGAAGTAAATTTAAAGATACACACTTACCTTCACTCAGTCCTTGCAAACTAGCATTTTTGGCTCCTTGCAAGCTCCACTCTACAGCTCCCGTCTACAGCTCCTTGCAAACTCCCGTCTACAGCTCCTTGCGAGCTCCCGTTTCCATGTTCCATCTTTCGATAATAAAAACACATCAAACAATAAGTATTAAAAAAAACCTATAAAGTATTTAAACATGATGGTTTAATTTTCAAACATAACAAACAATAAGCATTAACATGTCAATTTACTTTTCAAACACATCAAACAATGAGCATAAACAGGTTGGTTTAGTATGTTTCTGTAAACTTACCATAAAGTTTTCAAACACATCAAACAATTAACATTAACAAATTTGGACAAGAAAGCAACATTGATAATGCAGGTTTGGGAATCAAGAGAGTATGTTTTAAGTTTCATTGCTACTAACTTAATATTATTCATACTTATACATATTTGAATGAATGTGCAAAAGAAAAAGATCAGCAGACACATGCTAACAAAACAAATTAACTAATGTTAATAATTGAAAGAACAAATTACTAACTCTATGAAAAATCACTCATTCAATGCGGCATTTTTCTGCCTCTTTATTTCTGGTAAACACTTAGCAGAAAATTACAATATTGATTGTGTTCTTAACTTTATATGAGAGCTTAATTTTAATCAATTATAAGTCAATAGATCTATGTTAAGGGTAAAGGTAGTTTAAGCATTTAAAATGATATTACTTTTTTCTTTTCTTAACAAAAATGGCGAAGAGGTCTATAAAGAAGAGTACAGTGTGTCTCAAACTCGTATGAGACCAGCAAAACACAAAAGTAAAAATAAAGCAGAACAAGATTTTCAACATATTTTCATGGTGAATTGTAGAAACCCAAAAAATCAGAAATAGAGGCAAGTTTGCTTGGTGGTGAATCATGATGAATCCAAAAATCAAAAATAGATAACGAGATTAAGGAGAAAGAGAGAGAAGATGAAAGAGAACAAAGAATAACTTACATTCATGGTGAATCGTGGCTTGGTGGTGCTCGTTGAGGACCAAACAGCAACGACAAATTGAAGAAGACGATGAAGGTTGAAACCATAGCGGCAAAATAAAACTGAAGGAATGAATGGTATCTAAGTCTCGAAGAAACCCTAATGAGTAATGGCTATGTGAAGAAAAATGATCTTTTGGGTTAAGTAAAATGCAATTTAATGGGCCCATTACTTTTCAAACACATAACTATAATTCTGCTTCTCAGGCCGGTCGAATTTGGATATCCATGGGTCCAAATTCAGCATCCTAAACCGACCAACTATATCCATTTGAACCCATTTTTTTACAAATAGTTAACCCGATGATCCGATTAACCCGACCCGCGTGTTTTTGGATTTGTTGGGTAGGTCGGTTTGGGTCGGGTTGGGAAAATCTGTCCAGCCCTAACGTTAACCATCATAGTGAATCTTTCTGAAAATTTGGACCAAAGGGAATATGAAGAATTGTTGGGCTTTGAGTCAAAGATGTCATCATGCTTAATTATTTTTTAAATAATCATGTTTCTTTTAGTGTTAGAAAATGATTTTTTTTTGTGTTAAAAATGATGCTGTAATTAATTGAAATCAAAACATGGCATATTTTTGCCCATAGCATTGAGGAAGAAACTAACCAATTTGTTAATTTGTCAAAGCATAAAGTCAATTTATAACGTGTACGATACTTCTCATGTTAGGATATGCATGTTGTACGGATTGAAGCTACATTTATCAAAATATTTATTCTTCTTTATTTTTGGTCTAGACCAAAATAGTAATTCCTAGTAAGACTATTATCAATTCTTTTATTTCTATTCAATGTATTTGACTATTCAAAACAGTTAACGTGATTAACACAATTAAAACTTTATAAACGGTGTAATGGACTTATGGTTGGTTTTTCTATTATTTATTCAAAATTACAGTTTTAGGCTCTTTCTTTATTTTTGGTAAAGCCATGCTCATGTGAAAGTTTTTTTATAATATATGACAATTATTTGATGAAATGAAATGTGCCAATTTGGTTAAATATATAACACATGTATTTTTTTAAAGATATTTATTATATTAAATTAAAATAAATTAAAAATTAAATAAATCATCAGTAATAAAAAGAACGAATCTACTATTCTATTTTTCCAAATCAATGGTTCTTAATGTCAAACATCTAAACCCTAAGTTTCAAATAGAAGAATGAAATTGTCTTGGAAATTAATCTTGCATTTGAATTTGATTTTCACTATTCGTGTTCCAGCTTATTGTTGGGTGCAAGTGTGAGTGATTAAAATCTTATGTTGTCTATGAAAAAGCGGAATGTTGAATTTGTAAGAGGAAAGATCCATTTATCTAACACCTTAAGGTTTTTGGTTGAGATGTGGCGTCTCATTCTCTCGTGGTCCTGGAGCATTGGTCTCATTGATGCTCTCGACTCTCTCGCACTCTTCAATAGTGGTATCAAAACTTTTGGTTTGATATGGGATAGAATTTTTAGTATGCTCTGTGGTTGCAGCTTTGTTTGATCCTCCACATCAGAAAAGAAGGATAATGTTGTGAAAAATTGTTGAGCTGCAATCACAAATTCCGCTGTGCAGTTTGTGCTAGAGGAATTTTATGAAAGAATTGTTTTTGACTTGTGGAAAGTTCAAGTCAAAGATGTGTTGATACAATCAAGTTTACACAAGGTGTGAGATTATGTGGTTGGTTGAAAAGCTTCCTACCAATATGGAAGTTGGACCATAAAGTTCAACTTGGTTTTCGACATATGAAATTTTTTGAAGTGGTTTAACTTCAAGTGAAGTATACTCTTTAGGTGAAGTATGATAATTTTCAAAACTATGATTGGCAATGAAGACAATGTGAAAATTCTTGGAGTGATGTGGTTTCAAGTGACTATACTCTTTATGGTAGAGTATGATTGTCGATGAAGACAATGAAAGTTAATGTATTACTTTCAATCAAGATGGAAATTGTTGGAGTTGGTTGAAAATATACATGTTGAAGAAGTATCACATCACTTATTTTTCTAAAGGAAGAAAAACTTAAATCCTATATATAGCCTTGGACTCCCTCTTGGAGTCCAAGACTATATATAGAATTAAAGTTTTTTTACGTCTCATATCATTTAGTTTAGTGAATGAAGATTTTGATATTTGTATCGTAGGCGCAGGCGTAGGCGTGGACGTAGTTGCGGACATAGGCGTGGATATGGCTATGATCACAGGCGTGGACGTAGTCGTGGATTTTCTTTCGATGTTTTCTTACCAAAATTCTCTTTGATGTTTTTCTAAATGCTTTTGTTTGTTTTATCAAATCCCCAAAATAATTTTATTGTACCCCAAAATTTTCCCTCCCATTTAACTCAAGATATCTACTTATGCTCCTAGGGTTTTCAATTACTCAAGGCTACTCAAGGTTTGATCAGACAAATTCTCCTCCTAAGCAGTTGACCCACAACTAGGGTTGCACTTTTCTCAAGTAAATTTGAGCTTATAATGCCTCAAGTGGATTTCATTGTTCCTCATATGTCCCAAGGAATACTCATGCCAAATTTCAAGCCTTTCATAAAAAGTTTGCTCAGTCAATTGCTCAAATGACTAAAAATCAACTGTATTGGGTAAAAAGTCAACTATGGTCAATATACAGTCAAACTTCAAGATTTTTGGTCAACATCAATATTTTGAAGTCATATTCATCATTTGATCAAGGGTTGATCATGAGTCATCAATAAAACTCTCAATTCATCAAAAGTCAAAAGTTACCAAATAAGGGTTTTCTTGAGAAGTCAACTCAACTGACCAAGCATAACTTCCACGTGCTTCATCAGATTTTCCCAACCAAAACCCATTTTAATGGAAATTCAATTCTGTAGAACTTTATCTCTCTAAGCTTAAGTCCAAAAACACGCTGGACTAGTTGCAAGGGGCGCGCCTTGATACAAGAGGGTGTGGGTTCAACACCCACCCCTGGTATTTTTTGTTTCTCTTTTACTAACCCTTATTTTCTTACCTTTTTTTAATTGTTTTCTTTTTAAATTAATTAACCCTAATCCTTTTAATTAAATCCTAATTAACTTAATATTTTTCTAACCCTAATTAAATTATGATTAAGTTTTTTTGTGATAATTAGTTTTTTAATTAAATTAATTAAATATTTTTAGTACTAAATTAATTATGATTTTTAGGTTTTTATTAATTATTATCATCAAACTATTTTTTTCATAAAAAATCACCAAAAACATTTTCTTTTTATTTTCCTATTTATATTTTTCGCATTTTCCATTATATAATTGCTCCTAGTATGTAATAGTTGTAGGGTTTCTTTTCCGTATTTCACTATTATGTAACTACCCCAAAGCCTTATAATAGTCTTAGGTTTACATTTCCGCCTTTATCTTCTACTACTATATTTTCTATACTGCTATTAGTAACTAGGGTTTGTATGGCAAGATAAAATCAATTGATAGTAAAACCCTAATTTCAAGATAAACATAACTGAATCAAACACACTTTGCACACTCGCACCTTGAAGGTACCTCTTCTTATTTCCTTACGATTAACGGCCATGTCCCTCGGACGTAGTGATGCTTTAGCAAAAGACCCTCGATACAAAAGATCATAGTCCCTTAATGACCCTTCGACGTTGCCTACGAATAACATGATCTAGTCCCTTACGAATCTGTTAAAGCATCCTTATCAGTTGCCCTCAATGACCATATGACGACCCTCGATTGTCCCTTCACATCTAATAGATGGGGTTACCTACCAACTAATGGTACAAACAGAACTATCTCTAAAGGAGAAGGAAAAGACAAGAATGACCTTGAATGGGTAAGAACTATTAATCGCTCGCTCGCAAATTTTTCTAAACAAGATATTTCTCACATCACACCATCAAAATAAATATTTTCAAAACACTTTGTACGCATTCTTGAGGATTGATACAATCATTACGAAGTTCGCCTTACATTGGCATTTTCCATTATTTTAAAATCATACACACAAAATAGCAAATTTTAAAAAGTGAGCTAAGCGATTAAGAGCCCGTAGATAACTATGGATGAAAAGGGTGCTAACACCTTCCCTTTTCATAACTTACCCCCCGAACTCAAAATCTATCAAAGGTCTTTCCTGTTCTTTTCACCTTTCCTAAATATTGGATAAAAGAAAAGTGGGTGGCAACTCTAGCTATCCGCATATTTGCGATAAAATGCAAAAGTCAGTTCTCCCACCGTATTACAGAACTGGCGACTCTGCTGGGGAATACCTAAAAAGATGGGTTACCTTAGAGTCTTAAATCACTTTTACTTGCTTTATTTTCCTGCTTTATTTACTTTTACTTTAAGGGTTGCTTGGGTTTATTTTCTTGCAAAGATCCTACACCCAGATTTAGGGATGCCTTAGGTAAGTAGCAATAGATCATGGAAACTGTACGGCATGGACCGATATGGTTGAAGTGATGGCTACGTTAGTGTGACACTTGGGTTTATACCGATGATTCTTAAGTCAGTCGAGGATAACATTGGGTTGCCGCGTGGTGTCATAAGCACTAACTGACTTTTAGAACCTTAATTGACCTATCTTGGCCATTAGAATATAGTGAGATAGCCGACTTTGGTGCAGTCCAATGTTGATTGATACTCGAAGCTACGCTCATTGAGATTCGACTTTCGGGATATTTTGGTGACAAGTCAGTTGTCGTGCTAAAATAAAACCTGTAAGAAAGATTGGTGATATGAGACTCCTAGAACCCGGTTACTATTTTAGGACAGGTTGAGCCAACTTAACTTCAATAGAGAAGGGTACTTACCTATGGACCCCATGCAAGCCTTTAAACTTAAGGCTCTTGTGTGATTTGGTTGTGTTTTCTATTTGTTTGAACATAAACATAACATCATGACATCATAACATCTAACATGGAATTCTACTAACCATTTCAAGGATCTTAGGGACCTTTGATGCAGGGTTGTCATAAGCCGGACTTCTAGCAAGGGGGCAAGATAATTTATTTACCTCTAACCAAATTCCATAAAAAATAAAAGTACTTTCCCTTGAGCCAGAGGCTAGGACCCACTTGATGTGGTAAGCTTGATTCTTATAGAAGGACGTTCAAAAACAAAGACGCAAAGTTCTTCAGTCAAAGCTACACTAGACACTTCATTCTTATTTATCCCGTGAGATCCTTAAAAATATTGCA